TAATAGTTGACTTACATTGTGAAATTTTGGTTTTGTATGGTAAACTTTTTCCCTTATTGTGATGATTTTTCCAATGTTAGATAGAAAGTAATATCTGCTGCAACCTGCAATATTATGATAGGTGAAAAAATTATCAATCATTTCTTCATCCAAATTCACATTTTAATGAAGTAAGTCTACAGTGACTAGGAAAAGCAGATAATTATAGATTAGGAAAAGTAGTATTAGGAAAAGTAGTATTTCAATGGTTGGATGGAGGTCTTACAGTGATGGTTTTTTTTAAAAGTACAGTTTCAATGGTTGGATGGAGGTCTGACATAATGATGGATAATCTGCAACAAAATGATTCAAAACAGTGAACTTATTTTTAGAATTGTGTCTATGAAAATCTAACAATTATATATGATTTGTTAGATGTTTAATGTGAGGGAAAACACATGTTAGACCTTGCAATGGATGTGATTATTGTCTTCCTCTTTGACGAATTATTTGGGTGTGGTGCTTCATTAACATTTAATAAGTTAAATGAATAGTAAGATATAATTTATTTATAGTAAGTAGGAGATATTAAAAACTTAAATGTACTATTTTCTAGTTCAGTTGGGTTTTTAATGTATCATTGTTAGTGATGATATTTGCTACATGATCTATATTATAAAAATAATACACAAAATTGAATGGAACAAAGTTAGACGGCAGTAATGGACTTGGTTATTGTCTTCCACTTTGAAGAATTATTTGGGTGTGGTGCTAAAAATTAATAAGTCAAATAAATAGTAAGATATAACTTATTTATAGTGATGATATTTCGCTACGTGATCTTTATTAACTTAATAGTTTTTTGTCTATATATATTCTATGTGGTAAAGGCTGTTACACTGTTACATGTAAATTAAAGAAAGTACTTCAATGATTTAAAACTAATTAGTAATTGAAGTCTTGGAATATACAAAATATTTAGAGGGTTATATATATGGTTGCCCACTGTATGTGAAAACATGGAAATACTATGTAACCATGTAACCACATAAGTTCACAAAATATGAGGTTAAGTCAAATACATCAGTGTGATGCATCAAAAGAAAGGTTGTTCAAAGGTTACATTTAATTAGTGAGAGGAAATAACTAAGTCAGTCAATGTTGATATGCTTTGCCACCTTTGAAGATGACAACTGAGTAGAATTATACAGTAGACTTTGTATGAGGTCCACGTTAATGTCAGCCGATAATCGTTTGGCTGGAGTTAAAACTTGTAAAAGGTCTGGATCATGATCAGCAGTAATAGACACAGACTACTCATCAAAGTTAACACAAAAGTTACCTGAATTAGAGGCATGATATACAATACCTTTGCAGTGTAAATTTTGTAAAAGAAAATATGTGATGCACTCACAGAGTCTAACTGAAAGGAATCATTAATATCAGACTTTGCTTTTATATCATCAGAATTTGTTGGCTGTGTAGTAGGACATAACATTAATTAAGATTGAAAAGGAAGAAATTTATAGTCATAAAACGAAAGTAAGAATTAAAGGGAGTATACATAATAGGAGGAGTTATTTATAAAGTACCTGAAATGTGACAATCTGATCAAGTATAGTCTTGATTAAATTTGGATCCTCAGAAAGTCTGATAACAGATGATTGGTTGTATATGGGTTGCACTTTGACCCTTAGAGCCATTGTTCTTGCAAGCAGTTCATCCAGAATTAAAGGGAATGCCTTGGGATCATCTTCACCTTCCTACAAAAAGATATACGATAATAACTATTATATAAAATTAAGACTTAAACTATTGATTTCAATTCATAGAATGAAATAAATCTATACTTATTGCAACCATTTCATCTCTTAAGTCAGATGCCGATACGCCAATGATGTCAGCACATTGACGATCCCATAAAACAAACCTTCCACTCCCATGTTGGTGTATGACTTTAATATCTAGTTTATACCTAACATAGAAAGAAGTGTATCGTTATAGACTAATAGGTACTAAATGACAAAAAAAAGATATGATAAGCAAACCAAATTGCCTTGGTGAAGACTTCTAATTGTATGTGCCACACTTGCATGTGAATGGGCCATCTTTAACATCATTCTTCTTTGTACATTTAGTACAACCTTCATAGTACCATCAGTGTTTGCCAACAACAAACATTCCTGTCGTCCCAACTGTTACACAGGTTATTTCCTACATATTATTAAAACATGGTTAGTAGGTTATAACCGTATTTTTATAAAAATCATCTAAATATGAAATATACCTTAGAAGATGTAATTGCAGAAATTTCTGTAATACTCTTGACTTCAGCTTTATATATAAATCGTTCATCATCAGATAAGTTAGAATACTATGACAGTTGGCTGTTACTATGGCTGAATGTATCACATGATAGACTAAAAGTTGAAAAACTACAATGAAGCATGAGACATTAGTAACTGAACATTTTGAAGCATCATAAATACAAAATAAATACCGCAGTGTCAACATACCTTTGTACTTGTCAATGTTGGGAATTTCTTCACCAATCAATATCTTTGATCCGCACCATGAGTTGGAAATGCTATGTGGATACTTACCCAGACCAAAAATTTAATATCATTGGAAAGTGTGTGATAACAAAATTAAAATAGAGGTCCAACATTAGAGTGAACAAAATTATCATCACCTTGTCCTTCTTTGATTCAAGCATGAGTTAACAAAATTATCATAGGTTCAACATTACAGTGGTTGTTATAGTATTTCTCGAATTTGGTAGCATGTGATTCCCACATAGTACAGTTAATGAAATCACCACTGTTCGTAGAAAAAAATATAAAGTCAAAAATCTATGATATAGCAGTATAAATTAAATAGATGAAAAATACCTAAAATCTTTCAAACTGAAGACAACTTTCTTCAAATTGCCTTATGTCTGGGAGAATATTACCTTCTCAAAAGCACCAATGATATATAGGAAAAAGAAATAGAATGATGTAAAAAAATAATCTACTAAATCAGAGAAACGGTTGAACCTATTAGTAAATCAGAGCAATAATATTCCCATTCAGGAATATCAGGAAATTCTATTTGTTTGAGAGTGGTATCGGCAGTGAATTGCATTCTGTAAACATGGTCACATGCCTTAAATTGGATGTCATTGTGCATGACATTAAAATTGTGCATGACATAAGTTGAACTCTCAACCAAATGTTCTCTCCATTCGTTAAACTGATCCTTTCGGACATACCAAATGTCAGTTATTCTGACTGCAATCTTCCACAGGTATTTGGAGTCATTCAAATCCATTATCATATCGAACGGCCGTGATGTAGACATGATGTTGATATATGAAAAAATTCAAACATCACACATGAATCAAATAAACATGATTCAGTAACTGTAAATTTTATAAATAGATGAAAAAATATCATTTTTTTTACATAAAAACATACAAAATGGTAAACATAAAAAAAGAAACATCCAACAGTGTAAAATGCAAAAATCACACATATGAATGAGATAAACATGATTCAGTAACTTGAATATATGAAAAAATGCAAACATAACACATATGAATAAAATAAACATGATTCAGTAACTGTAAATTTGATAAATAGATGAAAATGTCTCATCTTTTTAGAAAAAATGCAACATACAAAATGGTAAACATAAAAAAAGAAACATCCAACCATGTAAAATGCAAAAAATCATATATATGAATGAGATAAACACGATTCAGTAACTTGAATAGCGATAAATAGATGCAAATGTCTTATCTTTTTACAAAAAAATAAACATGCAACATAGTAATATGCAAAAATCATACATATGACATAAGACAAAGATGATTCGGTAAAGAAAATGGCGATAAATATATGCAAATGTCTCATCTTTTTACAAATAAATAAACATCCAACCGGGTAAAATGCAAAAATCACACATATGAATGAGATAAACATGATCCAGCAAATTGAATAGCGATAAATAGATGCAAAGGTCTCATCTTTTTTACAAAAAAAGAAACATACAACATGGTAATATGCAAAAATCACACATATGACAAAGATGATTCGGTAAAGAAAATAGCGATAAATACATGCAAAGGTCTCATCTTTTTACAAATAAATAAACATCCAACCGGGTAAAATGCAAAAATCACACATATGAATGAGATAAACATGATCCAACAAATTGAATAGCGATAAATAGATGCAAAGGTCTTATCTTTTTTACAAAAAAAGAAACATACAACATGGTAATATGCAAAAATCACACATATGACCTAAGACAAACATGATTCAGTAAAGAAAATAGCGATAAATATATGCAAATGTCTCATCTTTGTAAAAAAAATAAAAAATTTCTCAACAAATGAATGTTATATGTAAAACCTTTACAAAAATGAAAGCTTTACAAAAATATAAAAAGTACGTCAGTGCAAAGTAATTTCACATAAGATAGAGGATAAAAGAGAGAGTATCTGAAAGGATTCATAGATACAACAAAACCGTCCACTTTTTGGTCCACTTCCACATTCGATGAACCACAAATTACTTGAGAAAAGATTTTAGAGTAAGGGTGAGAGCGTGAAAGTGAAGCAGTAAAAAAATAAAGAAATGGAAGAGATGAAAGGGCTATTGAGATTGTGAGAGAAAGGGAAATAAAGAAATAAAGAAATGAAGAAATGAAGAAATGAAGAATTGAAGAATTGAAGAGATGAAAGAGAAATGTTATGATGATGAGAGTGAAATGAAGAGACATGAAGCATAAAATAGTGAAGTGGCAGACTTACATGTTTTGGTGCAATAAAGACAAACTTGTAAGGATCATTTTAACCCCTTATTTTTCTTCTATAATCATATTTTAGAGTTAGTCCTTTATGGTAATTTGAGTTATTTATTTATTTTTAATTGTTAAATATAATTATTTTTTTATCCCTGTAAAGAACAGGTATCAACAATATGGAATTCTATAATTGTAATTTTGCTAGCCCTTTCAATTTTTATACAGTAATAGATGAAATAATAAAAGATAGTAAAAATTGAATACAAATATTAGTTTTGCTCCATTGCTCACTCACTCCTCTTTCTCTCACTTATCTTCCATTGTTGCAATCCCTCTCTCCCCTTTTTTCCTTTCCGAGTTAGAAGAACGCTGCAATAATCTATGGCTAGCCACTGCCTCAGACCCGAGGTGCGTTCCTATTAATTTATTTTCTTGTTTTATATTCAATTTGACTCATACATTTGTTATTGTTTTGTTACTATTAATCCCATTTTTATTAATGAGTGTTTTAAATTGCAATCACAATATTGCAGTTTTGAGAGTATCGGTAAGGTTACTGCGACTGCAATTGTATTTGCATTTTCTCGTCATTGCGATAAATGACCGCAATTTAGAACCCTGGTTAGAATTATGGAAGAAAAAATGAATGAAAAAAAGGTGTGAACTTGTAAAGGAGAATTCATTTATGAGTAGGTGTCGAGTATTGGCAACACTTATTGATTGATTCAATTGCCTAGTTCAGTTGAAAGGTTAGAACTTTGGTAGCGTTTGAAGACATGGTAAAATGGGATTGAACATAACATGAGTTCTATGTTATATTTGATCTACTTTATAACATGGTAAAATGGGATTGAACATAACATGAGTTCTATGTTATATTTGATCTACTTTATAACATGGTTAAATGGGATTGAACATAACATGGTAAAAAGTGAGACATTTTGGTTTATCTAAAAGTGATGTCAGAGGGATAGAACAGAGCACCCTGTTTCATTCTATTTAGTCAACACATCTTGATTTTCAACTAAGCAGTCATCAATTGAAAGAGAGAAAAAAGCAATATCTCATCGTTGTTAGAAGTTGCTATCTTAGGTAAAGTATGCGGTGTTCAATGGAATAATCAACATTCGCGTTTTGTTTTTCATTTATTTAGAGTGAACAAGGTGAACAGGGCTGCTGGAGTGCTTGATAACTTTGCCGAGGGAGAGAAGTATGCAGAGAATTTCTTGAGGAAGTTTGAACGAAACAGAGAGCCAGAGATCATGCCTTCCCTCAACCGTATCTTCACTGACCCAAGTCGCAATTAAGTGTGCTTTGAATAAACAGAACTTTATTTGAGATGTGAACTCTAACTTTATCTGAGATGTGAACTCTATTATGTTTGACAATTTATGGTGCATTTATAATACAAATGTGTCTGATCTCTCAGGCTAAGCAGCATATACGCTGCGGTTGAGAGTAAAATCCCAAGTTTACTGTGTTTGGTGCATAATGATTGCTGTATTTTTAAGCTCTTTAACTCCTCTGATTTCCTCTTATCTTGCCACAATTGAGGGTCTGTTTGCATTGTGAAAGTATTTCCTATTTTCATTTCTTGAAATGTGTTTGTTTTATGTATTTTGTAAATGATAAAAAATATGATTAACTACGTTTAATTCACAAGTAAACATCAATTTTTAGTGAACTTAAAAGTTTAAAGGTAAATAATTTATGTTTTTTTAAATCGGCATTTGTCACAATGTTGAAAAGCATTTTATTATTGAATAATTTTTTTAACAAAATTATACTCCCAAACAATTATATAAGATATCTTAATGAATACATTTATTCAGTAAGAAAAATAAGATATAAAATTAAGGCATAGTCTTTGTGAAAAACAATTCATGTCTTATCCAATGGGAAATACTTATAAAACACACCATAATAAATTAATAACCAAGAAATGCAAGAACCGAAATTCTACCCTTGAATTTTTTTTTATTTTAATTCAATTCTGTGCGTTTACTCATAAATTACATTACCAATTTAATAACCTTATTTCCAAAATCTCACTTCCCTCATCACACTCAATCCATGAACCAATAATAACATACATAATCATTTGACAGAAAAACATAATTCGTATTAATGCAGCTTAGTATCTACCACATACAACTAGCTATGAGTTTCCAAAATACCCATAGTTACACATATCTAGAGTTACCACACCATGTCAGCTAATATATTTATCCATAGTTATAAATGTTTTAAACTAGCAAATATGCATTCATGTACAAGATAGTGTAAATAAATGAATCCAAAATATAAAGCTCTTTAAGCTCCCCAAAAATGAGTCCCCCCTCATGTCACCTGTTTATCTGCAATGGGATTATCAATGACAAAAGCACAAACACACAAAGGAGTAAGTCGTTAATTCAATAAACATCATTATATAATAATCCACATTAGATAAGTGTTACTAAACCATTTTTTAAATTCATTTTGCTTTGCTGCATAACTTGAGCCAAAGTCGCTACACCCCTTAGGGTTAGCTAAAAGCAGATTCTCATTTCTCTTAAAAGAAAACGCGCTCATATACTCGAGCCAGATTTTTCGCTTATATACTCAAGCCAGAGTTTTCGCTTATATACTCAAGCCAGAGTGTACGCTTATATACTCAAGCCAGAGTTTACGCTTATATACTCAAGCCAGAGTTTACGCTTCTATACTCAAGCCAGAGTTTTTGCTTCTATACTCAAGCCAGAGTCGCTAACCATTCATGGTCGGCTAAAACATATTTTCTTTTCATCGATTTCACCATTTCTCATTTCCCGTAAATCTACGTCCACTTTAGTATAAACACACTCATATATGTTTATACTAAATGCGTAATTCACAACTCAATCATTGCATAACCAGAAAATACACACATTTTCCATTCCAAATGCACAAATAAAGACTTATCCTTACATCGGTGAGTGTTAGGTTTGGTTCTTGGCAACTTCTCAAGTTCCACCGACACCGCCTCCAACTTTAGGATCTTTCCTCATTCCCACCATACAACAAAATGTTAGTCATTTATTCCAATATCACATAAATAACTCATATTACATCATTTAACCATACAAGATATTTATCATATTTTCAATGTTTATAAACTACTTTCATCATAAGTTTACAAACATCTAAAACATACATATTTATCTCATATTTCAATATTAGAATGCTTAGTCATCTTCTACCTCTAGCATTTTACTCATTTTCCTCTTTAACCTCATTTTCACTTTAGGGTTTTGGGGTTTTCATGAATCAACCCCAAACATTTTCATTCTTGAAATACTAACTCTAAACCGAGAGTTTACAAGATAGAAACAACATAAAAGGAACCATAACTCAAAAGGATGAGTTTCCATGGTTTTTCACATTCGGAGAAGAGATCCTTTACACTCCACAATGAGTTTGAAAGAGAGAAAGAGAGTTAGAATCAAGAGATTTATCTCTTCTCAAGCTTCTAAATGACTCACAAGCCTTCTTGCTCTTGAAAATGCTCCCTTCTCTCACTTCTCTCTAGGTTAATCCCCATAAATGTGTTTGGGGTCCCCTATTTAATGTAACAGCGTCGGATCCTCGCTTAAGCGAGCTCATTCTTGCTCAAGCGAGAAAATCCCGCCCATTTTAAAAATTCAGATCTGACCCTTTCGCTTAAGCAAGGTATTATTGCTCAAGCGAGAATCTCACAGTCTCAACAGTCCCAAAATGCCATTTATCGCCCAGGCAAGACAACTCTCGCTCAGGCGAGAATCCTCTAGTATAGCCCAGGATTTCACCCTTCCAGTTGAGCCTTTCTCGCTCATGCGAGAATCCTCCAGTATAGCCTAGGAATTCACCCTCCTAGGTGAGTCTTTCTTGCCCAGGCAAGAATATCTCGCTCAAGCGAGAATTCCAGGACTGATACTATAATTTTAAATACTTAAAGTTAGGGTGTTACAAGAAAGACTTGCATCTTATAAAGTTTATTTGAACATTTAACCAACTATAAAGAATGCAAGTACATAATATACGACATGGTCTTCAAAAAATGTTCTATCTATTTCATGTTTTATAATCTCAATAGAGATCTAAAACCCAAAGCACAAAACACATACTCAATTTAACATTCAATATTTTTTTATGAATTAGAAAGGAATCAACAAGGGTTGATTTTGTGGTGTATAGTTAAGGTAGATTCTGACAACGACCAAAATGTTAAGGATTCGATTCTTAGGGGCGACACTTATTGGAAATGACAGTTACACTCAGAAAGAAATGAGTTCCTTATGTGGCGGTTCCCGACAAAAATGCAGTGCTCATCAATTGTGAAGACGAAGATGAATAAGTTGTTGTCTTGTTTTGATTTTATTGCTTCCAAGGTGAGTTGAAAAACCACAAATTCTCTTTTAATTTAAGGAGCAACTCTCTTACCTTAGTAAAGAAATCGACAACTAAAGGTTGTCCACTAACCTCCTCGTGATGAAATGATGAATTTGTTAGTTCGTTTCCTTGTTGTTGAATGAATAGACCTCCATCTCTAGCATTGTAGAATCTGTCATCATTTTTTGGGTTGGACCAGGTTGGTTGGGAGGCCAGGGGGATCATCGTATCACCTACATTCCTAGGCCACTTCTGAGATGGGGATGACAAAATATCCGACTCGTGAGTACCCGTCAAAATACCCACAATGAAGGGACCATCGTATCACCTACGTTCCTAGGTCACTTTTGAGATGGGGATGACAAAATATCCGACTCGTGAGTACCCGTCAAAATACCCACAATGGGGGGATCATCGTATCACCTACGTTCCTAGGTCACTTCTGAGATGGGGATGACAAAATATACGACTCATGAGTACCCGTCAAAATACTCACAATAAGCACCGCAAAAATAACTCATGAGTGAAAACAATTATCATGATACCCGCCCCACGGGTATACCCGCATATATATTTTAATTAAATATATTACACTTAATTATTATTATTTTAACATTATATTTGTTTATTTTATTATTATTTCATAATAAAATTTAGTGATTGGAATATAATCATAAAATTATCATATAAATATATCTCATATTAATCATGTAATAATTATTTTTATATATTAATTATTGTAAAATATATAAAAATATAATTAAAATTGAAAACTAGTTGAGTACCCGCGGAAACCCGCTACCCGTATGCGTACCTGCAAATAGTGTGGGTATGGGCTTATAGCTGTTCAGGATCAAAGTGGATAAATGCTAACTGAATACTTATAAACACTAAAGCTTTGTGGCAAAGTGGTAATGGCTTCCTCTCATGCATTTTGGCAACAGAGAAAGGCTTCAGAAGAAGATTAAAACAATCAAACTAAAGCACAAAAAGAAGTAGAAAGTTGATGATCTGAAACTCCAGCAATGTTAACACTTACAAAGGTTTAGCATGATAATTTCTTATTTAGCAGCATTGAAAAACAATTTCTCAAACTTCTGTTACTTAAATGCATGACCATATATATATGTCTACTACCCAATTGTGCCAAACATGAGAGAGAAGTAAGATTCACTTGCTGGGTATAGCACTGAAATATAGGCGGCAATATACACATATACTCTTCAAATTCTCTGGAACTTATGTCATAATAAGTTATCATTTGTTCATTTTCCCTACTAAAAATCTGATTTCTATTCTCAAACTTCAAAAGATGTTGTGAAGCCTAACACACCAATTCACAATTTACTATATTGCAGGAGAAGCAGACAGAAACACAAGTTCTCATGAATCATATCCAACACTAGAAAGATTTCATAATTTCAAATGACGAGGGACTCGACCGCACCCGCTCTGCATTCTCATTATCTCCTTTGCAAAATCTTGATTGCCTGTTAGAGCAAGTCCATTCAACACCCGATTAAAAGTAAATTTTCGGGGCAAAAACCCTCTATCAATCATCTCTATCAACAACTTCCCAGCCACGACCAAATCGTCTGATTTCTTCCTCACAAACATTGCACCAATCAGAATGTTGTATGTGTCCAGATTGGGCAAGCATGACCCATCCCCCATCTTTTCAAACATGTTCAAACCCTTTTCAATGTCCCCAGCATCACAAAAGTAACGGATCACAACATTGTACGTCTGAACATTTGGCTGGCAGCCATCTTCCTCCATTCTTGCCATAAGCTCCAATGCCCTTTCCATATCACCAGAATGACAAAATCCCCTGATAAGAACATTATAAGTAGTCAAATTAGGCATACACCCCTTCCTCACCATCTCTTCAAAAACCAACGCTGCATTCTGCACATTATCCTTCTTACACAAAACCTGAATCAAAGCATTATAAGTCGCAACCGAAGGAACCACACCCTCTCTAACCATCATATCAAAAATCCTCTTTGATTTCTTAACCTCACCTCCAACACCAAACCCATGAACCATTGTAGTGTAAGTAACAACATCAATCTCACACTCCCTCTTCTTCATCTCCAAAAAGAAATTCCAAGCTTCCTGAAACTGACCAGTCCTAAAGTACCCTTTAAGCAATATATTATAAGTAACCAAAGTTGGTTCAATTCCACTTTCCACCATCTCCTTCAAAAC